ATTGATAGTCATCAGATTATCTAGATTTATATATATATATATATATATATATATATATATATATCTTTATATAAATTTATTTATATAAATTTATTTATTTATATAAATTTATTTATATAAATATATATATATAAATCTAGATAATCTGATGACTATCAATCTGTTTATTTGGTCATACTTAGCATATAGCATATAGCATATGACGTAGCGGAAAATAATGATTTGTCCACGACAAAGGTAACTTTTATAAGAATGTGACATAGCTCGTCCCATCCACTTATTTCTTCAATTATAACGACGCGCATCGTTTGGCTCCTCCTAACTTTTCAAAGCGCGCATACTCCGTATCTCAATATCCAAATGAATAATACCAGATTAATCAAAGAATCCATATAATACATATACATGTAAAAGATAATTTAGCACAGTTTGTATATAGATATATACATATGATGTATATCTTTGAGAGAGTGTAACACATTTCCTCGGTCTTGAAGAACAAGTTACGAAATTGCGAAGGTAAGTTTAATACTTATAATAATACAGAAATGCTGCTGTTATATAATAATTCTGCTGGTCTGCGACCAGCGCAATCCTGTATGAGAAAAGATCGAAAGAACCTCCCCCGGCAGTCTCTACTACCTAGTACCCATTTTCCACGATGCTGCGCGGATGAACGGAGGACGGAGGTCCTATATGTCCTATTTCCGGCCGATATTTAAATCCGAGAGGGACCGAATCCGCTCGACCTTAACCGAAGCGTTCGAGTCCGGCTGTCACATTCGTGGTGTTCGTAGCGTACGGCGACTACGGCATGCCGAATACCGAATGTCAGTCTCTCGTGCTCGTGCCGACGACGGCGACGGCGACGGCGACGGCGACTGTGACGGCGGCAGCGTCAGCGGTTGAGCGGTGTAACGCGGGCGGGCGGTAATGAAAATGGCAACGCGCCGCGATGCGTCTCTTCTGCCGCATACGACAGTCTCGACCCTCGACGGGGTACGTACGGCTGCAAATTGCGCTGCTTTATCAATCTGAAATAACATGGGCGTGGAATCTACAATTAACGATGACGCAAAAAGCTTACGCGAGAGCTTCGCCGATCAACGGAAGGATCACGTTGCGCCGTTGCGCCGGTTGCGGTATGGCTAATTCCACAGACACGTACGTCCGATTTTACAGACATTACGACAGATCACACGTTACAAGGCGATACTATATAATTTTGTACGTTTTATTATAGGTAGACGAAAGTAATCGAGAGCATGGTCAAAAGACTTGACAGATTCCGCTGTGATAAGCAATTACTGTTGCATTTACAAAGTCTTATTATCATTTGTCTTTACAAATGTCTAACTCTGTTTTGCCAAAGTATTTGATGAGTATTACTTGTACGTTACATACTACGAAGGCTGTACTATGTCATTTGCTTTTGCAATAATACTTTTGAATTAATACTTTCGCTATCCTCTGCTTGCAAACTAAAAATATCTGTAAGAACAACAATGACAGTTTTTCACATGTCCTTAGAAGAAAGATAAAAAAAAGATAGTACCAAAGTTATTTTAAATTTGTGAACAACGCTACGTTTCTCTAACACGGAAACATTTACTTATTTTTAACAGTTTATCAAGAACTTGTAAAAAAAACATACATGTATTATGTACTTATAATGACTTATGTAAAACAATATATATATAAAAGTTAGTATTAATAATATAAATTAATAAAAGAACATTATGAAAAAGATATTTTTTAAGGGACAGTAATATTTTGTTTATGTTACATCCATTCCGCCTATCTAAATATAATATATATTCTGTCACACATCAAGATAAATTAGTTAACATTATATCGGTTTTTTTTTGTAAGATCATAACTTTTGATTTCATATTTAACCTCTTTAACGTATGTATACTATCAGCGCTGCCATCCAGTCATCGGACCAAAAAAAGTGAAATTATGATTGCTTTTTGAAAAAAAAAGTGACAAAGTAATCTTCTATTCAATAATCAAAAGTGACATTTTTATCAAATTTGTAGAGTAATTAGGGCCATTTAAAACAAAACAAAAAAAACGTTTACTCTTATTTTCCCGGATTTATCTTTCGATAGCCAGAAATATAACAAATTCTTTAGCATTTGATTCGCGGTGCTATATAATTGTAAGTAATCAGATGCTGAGACAGTGGAGACCAAGTGAGCGACAGTGAACGAGGTAGCGCTGGTATAGGTACGTATTTTCTAAAAAATTTATTTAAGCTTTTAATACAAATACGTTCGCAGCGATCGGATGTAGACTAGATGGCTGTAAACCTTGATTAAGTATCATATAAGGACATAATCCAATATGGCGGCAGTAAAGGAACCTTAATGTAAATTTCACAAACTTTAGATTTAGATTTAGCGTTCAGTTAATATCTATTTAACAATAAATATAGACTTATAACTTAATCACAATGAAATGAGTAGGAGAGCTTTACTATCACATTTGAGATATATTGCATGCTACTATTTATTTATTGTAATGCGCGTGTATATAGATTAAAAAAAGAAATGTCACAATTATAAAAATAATTGGTATAATTACTACACACAAGCCAATGGATACAACCTAAAGAGATAATTTAATATCATACGATTAAATATTAAATATATATATTATCTATTCTGTTTTTGTACTATGTTGCAAGTACGTAGAGAGAGAGAGAGAGAGAAGACTCAAACGCTACGCGTTCAGCTTGCACGGCCAGTTGCAGATGCATGGACATTACCATGGCCATATATTATTTTGTAGCATGCTTATAATATATAGCTTGGAGAACGGATCGAGCCGAATTTCAACCATAGAACGACGATTTCGACTTTCCGTAATTGAATACACGCACGCACGCACACATAAGTATACTCCACACCGCCGTGTTAATGAATTTCAAATCGATCGATCGCCTTGTTAAAATCTTGACGAGTTACACTAATATCTCCCACATGTATAGCGCAACACCGCGAGTCAAATTCTCGATCGATTCGAATAAGCAAAAATGAAGACGATCAATGCAAACTGTCATTCCGCAATCTCAAACTATCGTTGTTGTACATACGTTCTTACGTAAGAAGCGCGAAGAAGAGTTTTCCTGACTCATGCGCTTGAAGATTTATGTTTTCAGAAATAACTACTGTCCAAAGAAATTGTTTAAAAAACCCATTGAAAGAATAGAAATTACAATTAATATATAGAGAAATTACATACCAATTTCTTAAATATTCTAACATTTAAGTTTTAAATTAAGCTTCGTCTAAATCGAATGAAATTTTAGTCAGATTGAAGTAAAATATATTATCGAATAAATCGCATTTACTTCGCCAATCAAATAATAACAAATAGAAATATTAATCGACTCTATTGGCCATTGTAATTATCAAGACAATACGACCATGGTTCGATTATGCCAAGACGCACTTTTAACCAAGAATTTAATTCTTATAAATTGATGTAATCTTTTGATACTTATATATATATATATATATATAAGCATCTCATTTAAATAATTAAATTTATTGCGAAAAAAGAACAGCTAAAAATAGAAGAAAGTGAAAGACTGTCTAATTGTTAATAGTGTCGTTATAATGACAATGGATGAGTTAAATTCTAAATTAAAAATTTGAAGTAAGTTACTTCTATTTACTCATTAATTTTACTAACTTTTTCCAATTACCTCGAAACCGTTACGTTCATTGTCCATGTTTGTATTTAAAATACATTTAACAACGAAATCGATTTTGATATGACGAATACCAGCAATTTGCTACGCGTTGCAATCGTCACAAATAATAAAAAAAAAACGAACAAACATTGTTTTTATGACTAAAGCACAATGTGAGTATTAAAACTTCGAATTATCATGAAATGAGTTTTTTCCTTGTTTTGTCAAAATTTGACTAAATTAGCGAAGACAACTTTTATTACGTATATCTTAAAGGAAATTCTCGCCGCTTTCATGCACATATGTATACACGCGTAAAAAATATATTACTCCCGAGTTATCAATGTTATCATATCGCAATTTTCATATTTGTTAAGATTGTAGAGTTATTTGGTAAAGACTTCCATTGCGAGTGTAATCCGGAGCTTTCAATTGGCTTATTTCGATTAATATCGAATACAACACGCGTTTTAGGATCACAATGTTTAAATTGTAAATCAAATTTTCCTCTTTATTTTAAAACCGAATAAATCACATTTACTTCACCAATCAAATAATAAGAATCAAATAGAAATATTAATCGACTCTGTTAGCCATTATAATCGTCAAAACAATACGAATGAGTTAATATTTTTAGCTGTTCTTTTTTAAAAATGTTATTGTAAAATATTTCACAGGTAATTAATAAACAAAGATGATTACCGAACAAATAACGAGGAAAAGAGAACGTCGACATTGAGCAATTAAATGCGACTCATCGTCAACCGTTCTTTAGAATTTCTACTTGCCTAGAAGAATGCAAAAACTGAAACCAGAAAAACTAAAAACGATTAGGATGAAATAGTTAGAAAATCTACAAAAAATTTCTGAGATTTTTCATCACAAAAGATGAAATCAAATAAAGAATTGTTTGACTGGCGATATTTGCTCGACGGGAAGAGGTTGACGCATTACGCGCGGACGACGCGAAACGAGCGTGGGCGGTTAATTTAACGAGAGGCGGCGTATTATTTTCGAATGGGACGTAAGGACGCTCCGCGAGAGATATCCACGCTTCCCTGTTCGCGTCTTGCGCTTTGCAAGCTTGTGAAAGATAAATCTAATAAGTACCTGGTACACTTTTGACATTTCTTGCAAGTTATTCGACGCACCGCCTCGCGCCTACGCCTTCTACAAAAAAACGTCCTATCACATTTATTTCTTTTATGATACGAGATCTTTGATTAATTTGAGAAATACGTTATTTGAGATTCATGTTTAATATTGATTTTTCGATATATTTGTAAATCTTAGTTTCGTCTAAAATTAATTATATAGATTTGAAATAACAACTTAATTTTTCATATATATATTTGGTACTGGAAGCGTAAAGCGCGATTTGATAGGTACAGTAAAATATAGAACGGATATTTTAAAATTATGTGTGTGTGCGCGCGCGCGCGTATACACATATGCCGAGAACCGAATATGGAACCGTTAAAACAAAACCAATATATATTGGTTTTGCTTTAACGGTTCCATATTCGGTTCTCGAAGGTGATTCAGGTACACCGTTGACCAAAATTTAAGTTCCTGGTTCGAGCGCTGGGGGTATGGCAGAAACGCGCGGCTATAATAAAGATGCGCTCCCCTCTGTCCTCATTTTCCGTGCCACACCTGATCTCCCCTCTCCTCTCCTCTCTCCACTCTCTCCTCTCTCCTCTCTCCGCTCTCTCCTCTCTCTGTTCCCTCATCTCTCCACTCTCTGCTCTCTGCTCTCTCTCTCTCCCCCTTTCCCTCCCTCTCTCTCCCCCTCCCTCTCTCCCTCCCTCTCTCTCTTCTCTCCTCTCTCCTCTCCTCTCCTCTCCACGCGTTATCTCGCTTTGCCTCACCTTGCCTCTCCACCTCGTACTATTACCACGCGTTTACTCACTCGGTCGCCCGTTCGCTCGGTCCTGCTTCAGGTGACGGCGGTACCCTCTTCTAACTACCGCACGCTCAAAATCGAAAAGGGGAAACCGTGGCAAGCGCGCAAGCGCGAGGGTCGAACGGAAAAAAATCGGCCGGGCTGACGACGGGGGATGGTCGTATCGATCGCGCTAGCATCGGGACCGAGAGTGTCGAGAATCTACGGGTATACCGTGATGCAGCTACGATGACGAGCTATACCTGCCCAGCTCGAACAAAAATGAATGACGCGCCGCCGGATCCTGAAGGACTCGATATTATATGTATGCCTTTCGATGTTATAACAAGAAATTCACGGGATAACCCTCTCGCTATGCATTAAATCGGTATTATTACTGCCAAAGCCAAATTATTGATTCAACGACGGTGGTTGAATTATTGGACTAGAGCGTACTTTTGAGAGCACGCTCTCGTCCGACGGGCTCGGATCTAAGTACTGTCTACAGCGATGTCTACTCCTCGCCATTTGCGCATCCCGCGCAAGATGCACAAAGTAGCAGTGATAACACGCGTTGCCGATCCCGGAAAAAGGCTCATTCGTTTAAGATACGTTCTATAAAGCGCGCAACAAAAGTCAAGGCCGATGTTGCGCGTTTCACGCGCCCGATCGCGCTCGAAGTTGCGGCAAGATAGGGGGAGAAATGGGGAGACGGAGAAAGATCGAGCGAACGAGTAAAAAATGGAAATAGAGGTAAAATGTAGCTGTGCCGGAACGAGCAAACAGGAGAAATAATTGTTTTTTTAATCGGTTTCAAAATTTTTATATCTTTTGTAAATTTTATATTAATCTTTACATCTTTAATACAATTCTTAAAAATAAAGTTTATATTGCAATTATATAACTCTCTTACGACAGTATTTATTTAGAGGTCAATATAAATAATTTAGACGTAAATAAAAATTATAAAATTTTGCAAAATAATTATTTCTTTTGCAATTTGAAGGATGTTTCTAAAATTCCTAAGGGGTGTGGATGTTTAAATAAAGCATAACTTGATTGAATTATTTGAGTCTCTTCAATTTATGGACTTTCTCACGCACTTCCAT